GAAAATTCCTCCATAAGATTGGGCTATAGGCAAGCCTGTAGGGTATTTCCTTAATTAGTGATTGATGTGGGAGGGCCCAGCCCACAGTAGATTGTGCCACACCTGGCCTGGGGTCCTGGGTTCTATAAGAAAGAAGGCTGAACAAACCATAGAGGGTAAGCCAGTAAACAGCACTCCTCCATGGCCTCTGCATCAGCTTCTGCCCCCTGGTTCCTGCCCTGTTTGAATTCCTGCCCTGACTTCCTTTGGTGATGAATAATGATATAGCAGTGTAAGCCAGATAAACACTTTTCTCCCCAAGTTGGCAATGGTGTTTGATCACAGCAATAGTAACCCTAAGACAGCTAGCTAAGGAAGAAAATCATCCCTGAGTGTGGACAGCAGCCTGTAGGCTGGGGCCCCAGATGCAGTTAATGACTGTCAATAAAGAGAGGGCTTTATTAGAAAGTCTTCCTCCTACTCCTCTCTTGGCCACTGCCCTGCCACACTGTCTCCAGATAGATGAAGAAACCTCTGTAACTAGGAGAAAGAATAAATCTTTCTTCTCTTCCTTGTTTTTCTTAGATATTTCCCACAGCAAAAAAAGTCTAACATGACCAATGACCAATTTAGTATGTTTTTTTTTTTTTTTACTTTGGCCTCTTTCATTTATCATTCTCAATATGTTACCAGTATAGTGTAATTTAGTCACTAGTTACGTATGATTATTTAAATAAAGGTTAGAATTAAATTACAATTTCAGCTTTAGTTTCATTAGTAGCATTTCTTTTACCTGAGACACTGAATTTTTATTTATGCTTTTATTATTGTTTGAAAATTTCATACATGCTTATAATGCATTTTGATAAAAATCTCACTCCCATTCCCTCTTATCCAGTTTCTTCCCTATTCCACTTCTTTCATCTCCAATTCTTGTTTTTCTATTTTATATTAAGTCCACTGAGTTCACTTAGTGCTGCCGGGATGTGTTGGGGTATAAGATTGGAGGATGGGCAGCCTCTTAGCCCCACATGAAGAAAACTGACTTCACACCCCACAGCCATTCATTCTCAGTAGCTCCTCAGGTAGGAGCGGGTCTTAATGATCCCCACATCATCCTTACTGTGATTTTGGCTGCCTTCATCTTTGCAGTCACAGAAGCTGTGTAATCTTATGTGCAATGGACTTGCCAGTACTGTCTTACTGCAGATATACCCTCTCTATGACTTCTACAATACTTCTGCTCCCTCTTCCAAGATGATCCTTCAACATTGAAGGAGTGATACTGATGTCCTATTTAGATTTGAGCCCTTTACAGACTCTCATTCTCTGCAAGTTGACTAGCTGTGGGTTTCTGTGCTAATCCACATCTAGAAGCACCCATAGGGCCTCATTTCAGCAAAGTTCATTCAGTGGCTGTGGTTTCTAAGTAAGCATGATAAAAAAGAAAATTAGATAATTTAAACTAAATCCAAGTGCAAGAATGAACTGAACTTTTTTATAAAATCTATTATGAACATACGGAAATAGTGTGTCAGGCACCCAACCGTTGGAAAATGTTTTAAAGAAATAACACACATGGGACTGGAGAGATGGCTCAGTGTTCAAGAGCAGTGGCTGCTCTTCCAGAGGACCCAAGTTCAAATCCCAGTACCCACATGGCAGTTTACAACTATTTGTAACTCCACTTCCAGGGGATCCAATCCCCTTTCTGGCTACAGTTTCTAAGCAAGCACATGGTATACAGACATACCATATAGGCAAAACACGCATATACAACAATTCAATTCAATTAAAAAAATAATATACTAGTATAATTAAGGATGATGCTACATAAAAGCAATGATACAATAAATTTATAACACAGGTAAAATGTTCTTTTATTCTTCAAAACATTTCTTGTGAGTGAGTCAGGACCACAAATCCTGGTGTGGGACCCAAGGTCTGGGCTCCAGAGGGGAAGTAGGTGAGGTAGACCTTGGAGGACTAGCATATGATGGCCATAGTTTTCTCATATATATAGTAGAGCAATGGGGGATTATGTATCTCACATAGAAAAGGAAGCAGGATGAAGGGACTCTAGACTCTGCTTGAGCAATGTTTAGAGTCATTCATCACTATGGAGGGAAGCCAGGGAAGCCAGTGTTGTTTGGGTGGAAACTACAAGGAAGGAAGGCCTACATGTCCCCATGAATAGCTTGGAGTATGGGCTACTCAAAAGCATCAGGGCATAGCTATGTATAAGAATATCTGAAACTAAAGTAGTCTGGGCAAGATTTCAGAGCAGTTGTTTTATCAAGGGCTGAATTACTATACTACTTGTGAATCACTACTGTTACCTAGGTCTCATACAGCTCCCTGCACAAACTCTGCAGGCCAGTTTCAGGAGGTAAGGACATAATGCAGTTATGGGTTAGGGCTGGTTTGAACAAGTGTTCCTGCACTGTAGAAATAAGTAATAAGAAAGGAAGTGTCCCTGAAGCTGTAGCTAGCACAAAATTGCATCTGGAAAATGAATAGTATGAAATAGCTCTCTGAGTTTGCCATTCTTTTATTTCTTTCATTCATTATTATTTTGTTTCTTTTGAAAACCAGATTTTCATAGAAATGAGTAATTTATTCTCTTACCTTTGGATCTATCAAATGAAATATTATCTCCATTTGACAATTTCCCCTAAAAGAAGTGACATACTTCCTACTTAAACTGCTCAGAATAGTGTCTTCCATCACTTCTTTGTACTTGAGAATATTAATCCCTTTGCTTTGACCAGGACCCAATTCCTTACACAGAATTTTCTGGGAATGCATGGAGAAGCAGGGTTCTTGGGCTTCAACTCCCTAAGAGCAGATACCAATCCTCTGAGGCATCAGGTGGGCTTGGGAGATGGTGATTGGAGGCCATGGACCCAGGTAGAAGCTCCTTGCAGGGGTGGTTGCAAGTCTGGAGTAGGTGTAGTTAAGAAGGTCACTCAGAACAAGGCTGTTCACGTACTCAGAGCTGCTGCTCACTGAACAGAGAAGATGAAAGCATTGCTATAAACTAAAGAGGAATGGCTGCTTTGAAGGAATGAGGCAGAAAAGTCCTGGAGGAGCTCAGACTCTAGAGCCCTCCCTTCTTTGATCTAGAGATATCTGGGTACTGGCAAGAAGCCTAGAGCCCACAGTGTGAGATGTGTCAGATGGGTCTGGAGTAGAGTACTAGGGTCACACCTCTTGCAGCTGGAATGCTAGGTTCCTGAAGCTGGTTGTGGGATGCGGAGTGTAGGTGGCACTTGGCTCCTTGGCTCCTCTACTGAGCTGTGTGTCTGGGTCTGTGATTACCTGAGGCAACACACAGCAGGCCGGGACTCGCTTGTATACATAACTGAGGGTAATGACAACATCCTCACCTGCAGGTGCCTGCTGGGGGTGTAGCACCTTATTGCAGCAGGTGAGCAGTGCTTCAGTCAGGTGAGGGTAATTCTTACTGAGACCCTGTGCTAACACGCTTCCAGGCATCACAGAAATGTCTTATGTGAATGGCAGCATTGGCCAGTGGGCACCTCTGTGAAGACCAAGAACTACCAAAACTCAGTCCTTGAGAGCCAGGTATGGTGGAACATACCTGATGTCCTGGCACTGGAGAGGTCATGCTAGCTTCGCCTACATAGTATTATCTTGTCTCAAAAAACAAAATAAAATAAAATAAAACAAAACAAAATACCATGTCTCTGAGGGAATAACCTTGAGTTTATTTGTAATTCTCTAAAAAGACACAAAATAATATATTGATTCCTTTATTAGCAATTCTGGTCCAAAAGTTTTATCAAAATATTATTCTACAGAGATGTCTTTGCATGTGGAAGCCACATTTTTGACTTGCCTTTGCTCATAATACAAATATCTAAGTGACTTGTACTCATTGCCCAGAAGCAATTTGAATTGGATTCTCCATGGAACCAGATGTCTATTAGCACAAGTGACTGTCAAGTAGCCTGTGATAGTCTGAGAGTAGTAGCAAAATGCACCTAACAATGCCTTTGCTTTTCCAAGTTTACATTCTATGCCAAAATGTAGGTCCTCAAACTTCCTAGGAGTTCTTCATCAAGGAGTGTTTGGCTACAGTTGCTACAGTAGGGTTGCTTTTCTCTGATCCCATTTATTCTGTGTATTTATGACACTAGTTTTCAAATGAATCCATAGGCTCCATAGAAGCTCAGCAGTCCACATGGAGACAGGCTACAAGTCCCAAAACATGCTCTCAGATATCCTTAGTCCCCTAAAAAACCTGGCAGAAGCTTCTCAAAATTTACCACAAGCCCTGCCTCCCCTCAGTTCACTCCCTGGGAGCCGGCCTCAACCTGGCTCCTGGCATCACACAGAATGTCTGTTTCACTACTTCAGCTGGTCTTAGAGTTGCCCTCCTAGTGAAAATACAGTGGAAAACATCCCCTAATGCAGAGAAACTCTATCCCCTCGGGCATGTGGGCTTGGCCTTTGGTTCCAGTAAGTGGTTACGTGGGCTATGTAACCTAAGGCCATGCTTCTTAAGATGAACATTCAGGAAGACAGAGGCTGGGTCCCACACACCTAGCCTGGGGGCAAAGAGCATGGAAGATGGAAGTGTCCTCTTCATTCTCTCTATTCATAGAAATTTTACCTGTGCCTTTGCATGTAGATACCAGAGTTGTTGTGGCTTTGCTCTACTGTGTTCCATGATGAAAGAGAAAAGGCAAACTTGGTTTTTGAAAAGCACCTAAGAAAACTAAGGTGCTTAGTTATTTGGGTAGCATTGGGGATTTGACTGAACTGGGGGACAGATTGTGACCAGTAAGGAGGAGATGGCTTTATGGTGAGGAATTCAGAGATGTGATCCAAGAGTCAGTTCCAGAGCTCTCTCTCCTTTGTACAGAGGAGGCTTTTTTTTTTTTTTTTTTTTTTTTTTTTTTTTTTTTTTTTTTTACTGTGTGTTTGCAAGAGGTGCTTCTGTAGGCGACAAGCATGGCTGGAATGTTTCTAGCTGAAGACTCTGGATTCTTTGTTCCTCTGCCTCAGCCCTTTTCTGTAGTCTGGGAAGAAAGGACCCTGGCTCTATATCCTTTCAGTCCTGCTCCAAGAGGCTCCCTGGCTTCAAGGCCTGAGAACTATGGAGCTCCCTGTTACCTGCATATAGAACCAGCCTTTGATTTGTAAAGGGCTTCATCCCCTCCCTGGCCTGAACTCTAAGAACAATTACGAAGAATTTAGGTGCTATTTCAGGTCTTTGTCAGACATGGGGAATTGTTCCTGTTCTTAGTTCTTGCTATTTTTCATTGCTACCATTCTGACTATTTTTAGTTAAATTTAATTCATTAGTCAATTTTACTGTGCGCTATTTTAGAACTGACATACTTGGAAAGCTCTCTTGACCGCTGCAGTTTTCCTGGAGCTCAAGTTCTCCTAAGAAGCAAGCATTCATCTTTCATTCTTGCAGTCTTGATTTGATATCCCAACAATGATAACACTGAGCTGGGCATTCCTCACCAGCAGGAACTGCCAGTGCCATGTGGAGGGCTGTGCTGCTTCCTTCCATTTGGAGTGTATAAGTCTCTCTCTGCTCAGTATAACATGATATTGTCCATGCCAAATTCTTGATTCCAGGACAAGATATGACTTATTATTATAAGTGATCTGTTTTCCAATCCCTCCCTCCAGGCTTCCTTCCTTCAGTGCTGGTGATCAAACTCAGAATATTTATTATGAAAGTATTTTACCACTGAGAGGCATTTGCAGCCTTTTTGTGCTTTTCTTTTTACAGCTAGAACTTCAGCCTGCATTTTTTTCAGACAAATAGACACTCTTCCTATTATTAGTGAATATGGAAGAAGCCAGCTGGAAATCCAACCCAAGACTTTGGACAAAAGCTTTGTTAAGAGAAGCATCTCCAGAGACTTTCCTGCTATTCTTTCAGTTCTCCAGCTTCTAGGCAGGATGCACATTACAGAGACAGTGTGTGTGTGTGTGTGTGTGTGTGTGTGTGTGTGTGTGTGTGTGTATAAGAGATAAAAAGTGTGAGTGTGAGTATGTGTGTGTGAGAGAAAGTGTGAGTGTATGTGTGTGTGAGAATGTATGAGTGTGAGTGTACATGTATGTGAGTACATGTGTGTGAGAGAGAGAGAGGGAGAAAGTCTGAGTGTGTGTGTGAGAGTGTATAAGTATGTAAGTGTATGTGTGTGAGTGTGCATATGTGTAGATGTGTGTGTGTGTGAAAGAGAAAGTATGAGTGTACATATGTGTGGGTGAATGTGTGTGAATGTGTGTGTGTATACATATGTGTGTGTTTGCACACACAGGAGAAAATGAGAAAGCTTTGAGGGACCCCACTTCTAGGAAATTTTGTTGTTATGGTTGGTGCAGAGAAACCCCCTTGGTCTCCTCTCAACATAAATTTATTTATTTGTTTTAGTTTATAGAAGTCAAAGTATTGAGAAATTTGGTGGTAATAATGATGCAGCCACTTAAAAAATTCTTTGAACTTTTAAAAGCCCTTTGTGTTTTCCTAACAGTTACTCACTGAAGGGCTGGGATAGGAAAAATGCAGGCAGGCTGGTGCCTGCTTTTGAGTGCTCAAGTTTAAGCAATAGTGTACCTACAATTCATCCAGTCACTCTTTTCCCCTCCTGGTGGTGGCAGCAGGAAGTTGGACAGGTTTCTGAGTTCTGAGTACATTTTGTCCTCTGATAATATGAATATTTTGTTTTCATCTTTGTGTAAAGATGTGTGAAACGAGTTCCTGTGCCCTGGTGGAAGTTGCTTGGCTATGTGAAAAACTGAGCAGGACACAGTAGGCCCCAGATAGTCAAGGTCATTCCATTCAAACTAGCCCAGCTGCCTCCGGTTCACTAGGAGGCTGTGGAAGAAAGGACATTCCCTGCCACTTCTATTCTCCTTTCTGCCAGATGTTGCTGGCCACTTCTGGGCTCTGGTGTCCTAGGAAATGTGGTAGACATTTCTGGAAGAGCTGAATTTGTATTTGAAGAGTCTTAGAAGCTGGGCCTGGTGGGCAAATGGCCAAGAGATGGTATCTTTATAACATCTGCCGTCATCTTTGCTGTGTGGGAATTAATGGCTGTGTTTGAATAATTAGGTCTTTGCACCATAGCACAACAAAAGCAGGTATTGCCCCATTAAAGCAACGTAATTACTGTAGCTCACTTACTTAAAGCTCTTTCATCCCTCCAGAACCTGTAGTATTTGAGAAGGTCTGTACTCCAGTGTCTCTGGCTCTGGCTACTTGGGGTCAGGCCCCTCTCCAGAGTCTTCCGTCTGGTATCTGCAAGCACTGGAAAGAGAATCAACCACTTGTGAGTCAGCACTCAGGATATATAAGCCTTTGTTTGGTCATGTGTGAAATCTGATTCTTCTATCAAACTGTAAGCACAGACTTTGCTTCTCTTTTGTAGACACTGGAGTTAAGAGGTCCATACCTCTCTGGACCTAGGTCCACTCATCTGTTAGTCACCACATCTGTCCCATCTACCTCTGGGCTGACTGTAAAGATCAAATGAAGTCATGGATATAAAAGTGATCTGCAAAGATTTAAAATACCACACAAGTCTTAAAAATACTGCAGTTACCTGGGGCGAGGCACAGGGATTCTAACCTTGTCAGCTTTGGACTCACAATGAAGCTCTGTAACCATTACTTTTTAGGAAATTAGATTGCATGGACCAAGATAACCCTACAATATAACTGTCTTGTCTTACTAGAAATTCTGGCCTTCAGAATTACATTATTAATGTATTATTATTATTATTATTATTAAAGGATACATGTCCTTTATAACAGTAAACAATGAATTCTTTTTCCTAATCAATGTGACAATGTTCTTGGAGCACCTGCTGCATGGTATTAGTCATACTGAGGTAGTCAGTGCATACACCTGCACAAGCATAGGGGCATTGATTCATACAATCTTTCTAGTTCCTTAAAATTTGGGGGAATTATGCCACATTGCTGGTAAAGACACAGAACATCCAGGATTCAAAGTAGGAAAGAGGGAATTCCTATAGTTCTTCTCAAATTGAATCCTAGTATTGAAGAAGTGTCATAGGAGAAATGGAGCACACCTTTCACGATGGGTGGAGTCAGTCTATGAAGGAAAGACAAATGGGTTAAAAATTATAGAGAGGGGACCTATGTGAACTATCTTTTAGAATGTGCCTAGAGATGCACAGTCCTTGACTGCTTCTCCAGGTATCAACATCTTATGCTGAGTCTGAGTCCCCTGCAGTCCTGGTGAGAAGCTTTGGTATAGGCTAACAGTGGTAGGAAAACTTTTTAAGTCTTAACAATGTTTCTAGAGTTCTCCCATTTCCCAAGGTTCAGGATACTTTGTATCTTCCCACAAGCCCTCAGCTTTACCTAGCTTACTAATAGTATCTTAAGGAGGTGACAGATAAACAACACTTATTTCTGTGGAGAAGGCATATAAATCATATCTATTCTGTGCACTGCAAAGTTTATGTTTTTGTAGAACGTAAAGATACTTCCAGGACAGGGCCTATAGAGAGCTAAGTACAGCATGAGATGACAAGACTGCAGGCCAACACCGCAGGAACACAGAGCACTGCAGACGTTTCTGAGACTAGGCTGGAGGCAAGTCTGATGCTTGAAAGGTTATTCAAAGGAACAGAAGGGAAGAGAAGGCCAAAAAGATAGGAGGGAGAAATGTTGGGATCCTGGACATGAAGGAATGTCAAGGGACACTGAACTTTAGACACAGAATCCAGGAAATCATGATCAAGGTTTAAAAAACTGATATCAAAGGGAATGCTTTCAGTTAATGTCAGCCCCTAGAGTGGCACTCTAGTTGTACATTGTACACTAAAGCAGTACACAGAAGATTATCTGTATGAATGCTTATTCCTCACAAGGAAAGAGTCACTGAATTTCAGGGGCATTTTGGGGCATTTCAGAACCTCTAAAGTTGATGAATTTTATTTGAGAACACTCATTGTTGACCTATCCCTTGAATGGTTATTTTTATACACTAGACAAGACATGAGGTGATTGTGTCTGGGGCCTCAGCTGTACTCGTGTAGACAGGTAGTGCAAAATCTTCTGTTGAGGATGTGATGCTTGCACATAGGACTTGGGGTGCTCTGGCTTCTTAGTAGAGCTCAGATTGTATCATAAATGAAATGACTTAAAGGAACTAGAAACTCAGTAATTTCTTAGGATGTTATAGGTGGTGGTAACCAGCCACCTTTCAGAAGCATCATCCTGCTTTGACAACCTTTCCTGGATGGCACAAACTGCCCATATCTAAAATGTGGTGACCTGCTGAAGAAGGAAAAGCTTTCTCAGCCAGACTCATTTTCATCATGTAATTTTACCCTGTTATGAGCTGACTTGAACACACATGTCCGCTTTAGTTGGGAATGTGTGGTCAGCAAGGAGTTTTGAAACCCTCACTATTGCACTAAGAACTGAAACAATCAGTTCATTCCCCCAGTTAACACCCTCCCCCCTTGATTACCAGCTTCTGTGCAGCTCTCATCAAAACAATGCAGCAGTCTTACAAATGGTTACTGCTTGGTTGACTGTTGTAGCTTGTGGCATTACATCTAGTACATGCTTACAACAAACTAAACTTACTGTCATTTGGAATATGTTTGGATGTGTTCCTTTTAGCAAGCTAAGCTCACTTGGATCAACTTACTCACATGCACAGTGCTCAGACTGTGCTTTTCTTCTGGAAAGAAGAAAGCACATCACAGTTGCAGATACAGGAAAGTCCATGATTGACCTCTTACGTTTTCTCAGAAGTATGTTTAATTTTGTTTGAAGCCCAAAATGAACAGAAAGCTATTTTAGCCTATGTAGTTATGGATGGAATAAAAACGCCAATTCCTTTCCTTGACTTCATGTAATATGTCACAGGCCTTCGAGGATGTGTCAGGCTTTGAGGAACAAATAATCTGGCCCCTTGATTTATACTGTTATGTTCAAAGTGGTATCCCATCAGCTTTCTTGAGAACCAACATATCCTAAGCATAAGAACTCAAATGAGATCTGATATAGAGTGGTCTTTTCTACCCCACAATGCCTTGGGATCTAGGCCTGCTCTGCTCCTTCAGCAAATTTAGACTATCTACTGGGTGTCAGGTTGTGGGAAACAGCAGCTGATAGAGATGATTATGTTTGTGTTTTCATGGATTTACTTTCTGAGAGAAGGAAAATATGAGAAGCAAAAAGAAGAAAGTAAAGCACAGAGTGACCACAGAACTTCTTCCTGGCTCCCTTGTATAAAGAGATCACATGCCTTGTCCCCTTTCAATAGTACTGAAATATTCAGTACAAGAAGCCACACTGATAAAGTTGCTCAATTTTACACTTCCTTTTGAATACTTTGCTTTTGAATACTTTGCTTGCTTGAGTATTGTTTTCCACTTTCTCACAAAGCATATGGGAGACATATTAGACGCTGGCCTCAGACAAAAGCCCTCTTTGGAAGGCAAGAGTCTGTGATGTCAAGAGAGAAGAGTATTCTCCCTGGTGACAAGGGGCTACCCGGAGGCTAGCCAGGGTATTCACTAACACCCCTCCTTCAGCACAGTTATCTAACACATACTTACTCTCAGACCTCCAGGCTGCTCCACCCCCTCAGGCACCTCCAACTTCTGTAGCAACCTGTGTGTCATCAAAGCTGCCAGACTGGAGACTCCACCAAACCACTCCCTCTCTTGCATCTCCTCCCACTGAAAACCATAATCTTGAAGACAGACAATGAAGATAGGACAGCTATTCAGAAAAATTGCATGACTGTAGAGGCTTAGGGCATGTCCTGACTGCACCTGCAGGTTTTCCTTTCCTGAGGCCGCTCAGCACTGGCTGTGCTGCACCTGCTGCGGGCCAGTGCCTGCCTCTCAGCACATACCTGGGACTTGTACAGGCCCTGGCCTGCTTTACATCCTGCTGCTCCATTCCACCTCCTGTGCCCTGCTCAACAGTCTTGAGAGGCCAGCCTGTCATACCAGTCACCTGATGTCTTCTAATACACCCACAGAAGAAACAGAAATGTAGCAGCTTTTTGCCTCTTTATCACTGTCACAAGCATGGTAGGTTTGCCATGGCTCCATTTGCTTCAGTCGGTGTCCTTTCCAGATTATGATGCTTTATTCAGCAAATCAGTCTCATTGCTATGGGCCGGTACTTGTTTACTGGTACTTTCCAGACAGGTCTGGAAGAGTGATGAGCCCATTCCTCCAACTGAATAAGGATGTGCTCTTCTGAGGTCAATTGTTCTTATTAAAACCAACATGCAAGCTTTCTATAAAAAATAGGGTATTTGCAGCTGTATCTTGAAACTTTTTATATCATTTGCAAGCTCCAATTAATATCTACAGGTGAGTTTATTCACAGAGACAGGGCAATGCTAAGAAATGAGTAGCCATTATACCACTCACACGAAGGAACAGAGGAGATAGAGGGCATACCGGTCCTGTTCCTCAGAACTTTCCTATCACTGTCTGAATCATTAATGAGGCTTTCTTTCAATGGCATACAACAATTTTGTTCCTGTGATTTGTCAGTCAGTACTTAGAAATGAGGAAGTTTTGCTGTAAATGGTACGACAGGTTCCACTAACTTTCCTGACCAACACAGTAATGTGCATATAATGATTACTTTTGTGGTAGCAACTGAAAGTCTTCCTGAACCTTCCATAGGGGGCATTCATGTTTCTCCAGAAATCTGTTGGAGAAGATCACACTTGCTGCACAGATGATGGGTGATTGGCTTTCAGGTTTAGTCATTCATGTCAAGGAACTTTGGTGTTGCAAAGAGGGAAGACAGCAAGCACCCCCAGGTGAAGGGAGGAGGTGGAGCTGTGTTCTTCCCCCACATTCAAATACCCTTTCACCCAACAAGCCTATGGGCAGAGAACACTGTACCAGTGGCCGGAGACATCTAATTGGAGCAGAGTAGGGTACGATGAGCAAAAGAAGCAGAAATAAACAAAAGATAGTGTACATCAGGGGGAGGAAAATTTTCTTGGTGGATTGAATGACAGCCTGAGGTACACAGCAAGCCACAAATTACTGAGGCAGAGAGGGTTGTTCTGTGCCTACAGGCTGCAGGCAAATGCATACAGATGTAATGACATGTTGAAGAGATTAGTGCATGTCTTGGGCACTCCCTGTTGTAGCTCCCAAGGTTTCTGTGCAGCCTTCCACAATTAGGAGTGCATGTGGAAATAAGAGTCAGTACAAGACTTCTGCCCACCTGATGGACACATTGGGCTGAATCCAGTAATTTTCAGCCTTCCTAAAGCTGCAA